CCACTGAGCTTTTCAAAATGCTGAATTTCACGATGTACGAGTTTTACCAATTTTAAAATTTTAATTTAAACAACAAAATCATTAAAAGGAAATAAATCAAGGAGAATGATGGAAGTGATGAATCTAAGATACATGGCAAGTATTTTGTAATGTCACAATGTACCCCAAGTAAATAATAATATGCTAATAAAAGTAAATAAAAAGGAAATACATGAAAATGTTAAAAAGTAATCTCTTTCTGACAGCTGAACTTTCTCTATTTTATAGGCATTTTAAAATTTCAGTAATGAGCATGGATATCTTTATCAAAAAGTCAACAGTTGAAAAGGACAATTTTCCAAGATTCTTGCTATTAATTTTAATGATTAACTGCTATATCCTTCCCTTAGCTTCAATGTTAAATTGATTAAATTTCACTGATTTGTTTCACTTGAAATCAATGCTATTATTTCTAAAATCCTATTTTTTCACATCTGTGGGTCAAGAAATATAATTTAGCAAGGCAAAACAAAACCTCAGTGCTCATATCCAACAGCCAGACAATTAGGAGGTTCAAGTTATTCTTGGATTTGGAATTTTACAAAAACAATTTTCAAATGAAAATGTAGAAGAAACAGGAAACTACAGAGGACTGTTTTAATTAACTAACTGGAAAAACAGATATGGAAACTATAATTCTGGCCCAAGTAAATTGACATCATGAATCATATTGCTATTTTAAAACCTCACAAGAATCTTTTATGCTGCTCTGAGTTATCCAAGTTTGGGATGAAAATAAACAGTATCACCAAGTAAATCTGAGATGGTTAAACACCTAATTTTTAAGCATTTTTTCCTACTTAGAAAACCTTATGTCCAACAAACACCTTTTGTACAGCAATCTTTTCATTTCTAATGTGAACCCCTACAAAAAACATCTCCAGTCCGTATCTTTAAATGTGATTTATTTCTCCTCTAAACTACCAAAGACCAACTTATTTGATATTCTTCAAATGCAAAGCAAGAATGTGTATATGTCTTTAAAAGAGTATCTTTTTTTTTCTAATTATGCAATATACAACTGTCAAGATGGTTTAACATTTTCTGTTAGATGATCTAATCATTTTTAACTATTATTTTCAGGATGTAAATATGATCAACTTTATCAAAGGTGAACTCAAAATTAGAACAAGTTACCAAATATATAAGCAAGCTGTAAGTAAGATGTGGTGTTTTAATGATTCTTGTGTTTATAATACTTTGTTTTTCAAATTTTTCATAAATTTAGTTTGACTAGGTTTCCTTTTTTAATTTGGTGTTGATAAAAATGCACTTGCTTTTTGGCTGATAGGCATTCAGTGCCATTGGGCTTGTTTTAAATGCCTCTCTTTGAGGGTTGTTTCACTTAAAGGTCTCTTCTATTACCACTCTTCCCACTTCCAAGTTAAGTAAAGTACCTCAAAGGGGGAGGCAACATTTCTTCCACCACGTAAGCAATGCCTGCACTTTTGGCATAGTACCTTGAATCTCAGAAGCACTCAACAAATAATTAGGTCAGTTACAACATACACTAAATGTTACAAAATGCTCTTACTTAAGAGTCTTTTTATTCCTTTTATTTTATTAATTATAATGCTAAAAATGTTTTGTAAATTAAAATCAAGGTATTAAAAAAAAAAATATGTGTTCCTGCTGTTCATATCAACCAATTACAAAGGGATCTTTTCCCTGCAACTGGCAGTGTCCACACAGCAGTAACACAAACCACATGGCCAAACACAGCAATAAGGAAGGTGAACAGCCAGGACACAAGCCTACCAGAATTGCTCTGAAGAAAAAAGTGTAAGATTATTGTTGAGTATTGTTGAGACTAGCACATAAGGTGCAACATACTACCCTAGCCCAATTTACATATCATACAGTTAGTTCACCCAAAACCCAAAGAAAAAGAGTAAAATCTCAGCTCAAACCTCAGAACAGCCAGGAATCTGGGTATGCACACTTAAAACTGTAAAACATTGAAGTGTGTGCAAAACCCACAGTATTTAAAACAACCTAAAACTACCACTATCCAACCAAAACATTAATGGAACAGGGACGTGAATCAAGAAAGAAACTATGGAGATGTAGATCCATGGAAGAATGCTTGCCTAACTTGTGGGAAGGCCTGGATTCAATTCCCAGTACTGCCAAGAAAAGGAGGAGGGGGAGCGGAGGGAAGGGAAGGGAGGGAGGCAGGTATAGTGGTAGACTCCTGTAAGTCAAGCACTCAGAAGGAGGAGGCAGGAAGATCATGAGTTTGAGGCCAGCCAGGGCTACATAGCAAGACTCTATCAAGAACAAAACAGAAGAAAAAAGAAAAGAAACATAGTAACAGAATACAGCATACTATAAAAATGGTACTTCCAATCAAAAAGAAGAAACTGACTAGGTGAAATGTTAAAGCAACAGTCTACACATTTTGAAGTAAATAAAACTACACCCCTACCTTACTCCTATTTATTAAAATGTATTTCTGGTAGACCAAATATTTAAATATGCAAATAAAATCATAGAAACACAGGAAATACAGGTATTAGGTATTATGATTATTCTGAGGTGAAGACAGCCCTTCCCTAAAATGTCACAGAAGTCAGTTATTAAAAACTAAGGTGTCCATAATTTATCCTACATGTATTTAAGTTTCCGTATACTACAAGAAATGCTAGAAAAGGAAAACACATTTTTCAAAATATGAGAAATACAGTAGTACATCACTATAACAAAATCATCTCATAAATGAATAGGAAAAAGATGAATACCCAACAGAAAAATGTAGAAAAAATTTGAAAAGGATACTCACAGAAGAAATAAAATAACTTAAAAAGAATTTTTAAAAACAGAGGCTAAGCCTCATTAACAATTCACATAAATCGAAATAGGAGGAAAATAATTACTTTGCTATGTGCCAAACACTATTATTACCACCTTACAAACCTTCCAACTCAATCTTCACAGTAACACAAAGAACTATTAATAAGGAAACTGAGTAAACTGTATGAGGGACCTCATGTAGTAACAGGTAGAGCCAGTGAGGCACCTGGAGTTAAGGTTCTTAACCACTGCTATACTCTCCCCTAAAAGGAAGAAGTCATTCTTTGATTTTCATCAAAATAAAAAACATTAAATCAAAGCCCAGTGTTTAAGACAGTGTGCAGATGCTCTACATGTGGTTGATATAACTGTGCATATGCTCAAACCTTCTGGAAACAAAAGTGGCAATTAATTATACATCTTAATATTTTAAATGTGTTATATAGCCTTTTACCATACTTTCCTTATGAGCACTACTCTTGTGATTCAGGTGATACTGTTACCAATGAATTCCTGGTATTTGTTGGCTTGGAAAAATGGTATTATGATTTGGATATATTATGTCTCCAGAGGCTCATATATGTACCAACAGCTCCAGCTGTCAGTGCTATTGAGAAGTAACTGGATCGTGAAGGCTCTAACTTCATTAGTGGACTAGTCCACTGATGAATTCATAGCTAAAAAGACTTATTAGGAGGCGTGGCCTAGTTGGAGGAAGCAGGTAACTAGAGGCAACACTCTGGAAGGTATATATTGTCCCCAGGCTCTCCCCACTTTCTCTCTGCTTCCTGGCTGCCATGAGGTGAATAGCTTTCCTCTGCCATATCATTCTACCATGATGCACTGCCTCAACACAGGCCCGGAAACAATGGAGCCAAATAACCATGGACTAAAACTTCTAAAACCATGAGCCAAGAGAAATGATTTTTCCCTTACGTTGTTTTTCTCAGGTATTTTGTCACATGGATGAAAAGAAAAAAAAACAACTAACACACCTGGCCTCCACTGCCACTCCCCCATGGCTGTAACTCAGGTAAGGAAGGTCCTTTGGAATCTCCTCTGAGACTGACAAATGGCTCCTGAGAGAGAAAAAGTTCTCTTTCTGCTTAGGTTACAATGCAACTTGCCTCCCAAGTAGACAGAGCCTTCATGCAGAAGGAGACCAAGCAGACAAGTAGAAAAAAAAAGATGGAGAGAAAAACAAAGCCTAGCCAACTACATTTGACCAGCAACCCAAATTGATATGTCTTAATTATTTGAGCCAACCCAAGTTTTTTTTTTTAATTTGAACTTCAACTATTTGCAATCAAAAGATTCTTAATGCACATGACAATTTCACCTCTAAGAATAAGTATAAAATTGCACAATTTTTAAAGGATAAAGGTATAGGATATGCATTTGAGTATGTCTAGGGAAAAACACAAAAATCAAAATGTCCACCAAAAGTGAAATGATTAAATATAACCTACAGAATGGTTTCTCAGGTTTGTCTAACAGAATCATTTGGTCACACATACGGTATCTAGGCCCTTCGAAATTCTAATTCATGAAGTCTAGGAGGAACCGTAGAATTAATTTTTTTTTCCTGAGACACGGTCTTGCTATGCAGCCCCAGCTGGTCTTGAACTCAACATCATTCTGCCTCAGCCTCCTGAGTACTGAGATTACAGGTGGGCACAACCATGAATAGTTGGGAAGGATCGTATTTGGAGG